AAACAATATCTTTGCTAAAAAATTATTAGAAAACAAGCCCGTATAATGTGATTATTACAGAAAACCCAACATCGTAATGCCCGCATCAATTTTAATCTAAAGTAAGTAAAAAATATGTCTTCGTACTGAGACAAAGTATCAATCTATCCAGCGGTTAAATTCGGTGATTTTCATCCTTCTCTATATTTTTGTCATTTCTCTATAGGCTCTCTATATTTCCACTTATGAGTTATTCGGTATATGCAGACGCTAATCATGCCAACGAAGCCCATCGAACACTTTTAGAAGCTTACAGTGATGCTGCTCATCAAATCCCAATAGTCGGTTTTAGCTGCAACGGTTAATGGCAGAGAACGGACTGAATGACCAAAAAAGTTCGAAGAAAATGAATTGCAAGTCTTTTTGGACGAAAATGGTTAAAATACAGGCCAGCACTTAGTATTTATATATGTGTCGAGTTGTTGTTGTCTCTATCAAATATTGTAGTCAGAATAATTAAAATAAAAGCAATCGGGGCTTTTTACCATTTCGTGGCAGAGTACCAGTTCCATACTTTGCCGCCTTTCGCGACAATGCAACTGAACTATATTTGGCCGCCAAGATGTGCTTGCAATATATTTTTGCACGATTTGTTCGCCATATTGTATAACTCATTTTCTATTGAATTTATTTGCATAGAAGACTAAGAATAGTGCTTCATGTCTCTGCCAGAAAAATCCGGGGGCAACCGCTGTGAAACAATATAATGACTTTCATATGCAGACAACGTCAGCCACCACGATGCAACAAGGGACTGCCGCATGTAGACGGTCCCAGTTTCCATGCTAAGAATCTGCATTAAGAGATGAAGAGAGCAGTGCAAGTATTAGAAATGTGAGATCAGCTGGCAATACTTCGAGTTGAAGAACCAGTAAGCAAAACTAACAGCAAAATCGCGTTTTTACCGAATATTTTGCAGACAATTTGAGGAAAAATCGTACATCTGCGATATCTGGTTCTAAAACGGAAAAGAGAGGAGCGCTTTTGAATATTGGAAACTTTTTGAAACACTATCGTCTAAGACTATCTATCGCCTTTATTGAAAACTTTACCGCACTTGGCATTTGAATCGACGACCATTGAGTTGTTAGTCGCGATCATTTCTTCGATGTAAATTTATATAACCTCTCTCTCATTTGGAAATCTCGTAATGCTTTTTTTTAAAGATTATGTAAATTTTCATAAGGACAAGTCCAAAAGACATCAAATTTTTAAAGCGAATTAACAATAGTTTGCATATCAGTTCACTTAAAATATGCTCCGTTAAGAATATGTCCGCCATATTAGTATCGTTATAGATGTATTTCCTCGATAGCCCCAACCATGCATTCATTGTTCTGGACTTATAGCAATAAGCTTAAACTTTAAGAGTATTTTTTATTTTTTTTTTTGTAGAAAAAATAATCAAATTCTATACTAATGAGATGAAACCAAAAAGCGTGCTAAATTTCAATACTAAATATAAAATATTACCTCATCAAAAATTTAATGTTCAACTTGTTCAGAATTATTGAAAACGAAACTTTTAATCATTGCGAAATTCTATTTGTTATATATGTCAGTTTTAAGATGCTGCTTGTTATTGGTTTTATTTATTTTTTTTTTTTTTGTAGAATCTTCTAAGCACTTTTTTTTTAATTACTATTAATAATGTGTATGTTAATAGCAGCAATCGTAGAATGAGTATTAGCTTCTTATATGTAGTTCTAGGTGCTTTAGTCGCTTTCTTTGTTTAAAAACGTGCTATTGCCAGTTTACGATAGATACCTGTTTTATAATATAATTATAAATCATTAAACTGGTATTTTTTTATGTTTGAAAAAAAAAACAATGTTTTTTTTTTTATATTCACATCAAAAACTTATTCCTGAGGTAAATGTTTTAAAATATTTATAATAAAATAAATGATTAAATTTATGAAATTCTTGTCAAAAAAAAAATAAATAAATAAAAAATAAAACACAACATTAACCCCGCTCTAATTGATATATGAAACGTTTTAACGGCACAATAGCATTTTGTAAATATTCAAATTAAAAAAAAAGAGAGAGAGAGAGAGAGACAGAGAGAGAGAGAGTGATTATGAAGAAGGAATGTGTTGTTTACTTACTTCAAAATACCTTAAATAGCTTTATCTTCTTAATTAAATTGCGCAAACGTCTTTTTCCCCAAAATTTTCTTTCACGTATCTATTATTAGTGCTCAGCTATTTTCCATATTCCGCATCTAACTGTAAACTATGTTTGTGTTATCGTTCCCAATCTGTTCACGTTTGCTTAATTTGAATGCAGGCATATATCAAGTTCGAATCAAACTCGGCTGTCATCTCTATTTAGATAGAATTTTATTCGCATCTCATCTATTCACTATCGATCTATGCCATTCTCGATCCATTATTTTTCCTCAATTTTCAATTTAAGGGAAGTGATAAAATCTACAACACGACTAAATCCACGCCTTTTTACTTATATACAGTAAAAGTTCCTTATTCGCGGTTTCACTATTCGACCCAATTCTCATATTCGCGGCTATAAATTTCTTTATTCACGGATTTTTGGTGACTGGTTCCGGAATTGTTTTGTTTCTGTAGATGAAACTTATTTAAAAAAGACAGAATTTAGACTTTAAAGCACTTCTAGTTTCGGACAATGCACTAGATTATCCTCGCGAACTTGAAGCTATGCATCCAAAAATAAAAGTGACATTTTTACCCCCCAACACGACGGCTTTGCTTCAACCTATGGACCAAGGAATAATCCAAGTGTTTAAACTCTATTACATTAGACGAACCTTCGAAATCATATTGAATGCTATGGAATGTAATCCTGATACGAGTGTTATGGAATGCTGGAAGAAATTTGACATAGCAAAATGCATCGTAAACATAAAAGAATCATTGGAAGAACTGAAGGCACACACATTGAAGTCATGCTGGAAAAAACTGTGAGAAGAATCTGTGCAAGTTCAAACTTTGACTGCAAACATAGCCGAAATCGCGAATGGAATGGACGAGATGGGTTCGAACAGACAGAATCAAGTGACATTTAGGCATTGCTTGAATCGCAAGATGAAGATTTAACTGAAACCGACTTGGAAGAAATGTTAAATTCACCGTCCATTGAAGAAGAGGCTTCAACAAGCACTGGAAATGTGACATTTAATTTGAAAAATCTTAGCATAGGTTTAGGAATGGCAAATGACCTTGGCGATTTCTCTATGAAACGAAGTCTTATTTTTAAGAGGCAAATTGCTAATGCGACTGCTGCGTAGCAGTCTGAATTGAAGGAGCTTTTTAAAATCTGCCAAGCAAGAGAAAATTACAAAATTCTTTAAACCATTGCCTAAGCCTTAAGATAATTAATCAAAATGTTGAAAAACTTCAATTAAATTGTTTTTTTTTTTTTATTTTGTCACTTACGAACGTATCCCCCACGTATAATTCCATATAAATTACCATTCCGTATTCACGGTTTCTGTATTCGAGGCATTTTTTATGGAACGTATCCCCCGCGAATAAGGAACTTTTTTTTGTATAATTAACCGCATTAAGACTGTTAGTGACATAAAAAAAAACCAAAAAAAAAAGAGAAAATTATTGCCACAATTTCTCATACCTTTCACATTCATATCATATGTCGGTATAGCAGAGATCGTACCCAATGCTTATTATAAAAACAAATAGTAAAGTCATTTTAGTTAACTAATAAATCGAATGCCAGGTACGAGTATAATGAGTATCCAAAAGAACTATAAAACTTTCTTACCTATTTTTTTTTTTTATGTATGTTATGCTTTGCTTCTTTATTTTTTCTTTATTATTTTCGTCTGTTATTTTCCCTTTATTCTTTCTTAACTTTGTAAATAAATTCTCAAGCCAGTGTCTATCGCTTAAATGCATTTAATTTCTCGTTTTGAGAAGTTTTGCTTCGCTGAGCTTGACCTTGTAACTAAATATAATAAATACGTGCTGTTGTAACTAGTTTTCGTTAGTGCTATTGCTGCTGTTGTTGCTGTTGTATTATCACACACTTACCCACATATACTTTATTTAACACAAACATTTGCGAATAAGTAAATAAGCATTATGTAAGCGTCAAGTAAGCGTGCAAAATGATTAGAATTTGTTTTGTATTATATTTTGCTTTTGTTTTGTTTTGCTTTTTTTTTTTATTTTTTTATTTTTTTTTTTTTTCTTTTTCGTATATAATTATTTGCAAGTATTTAAGTGAAAATGTAAATTATACAAGAAGTTTTCCAACACTAGGTGGACCAGTTCCTTTTCGGATCATAAAAAAAATAAATAAATAAATAAATAATTAAAAAAAAAATAATATAAAAACTTTCAAGCATTGTTTTTATATATATATATATGCACGAGTTTACTGAGCTGGAAAGTAAGCGAAAATAATGAATCATTTTAATTAGGTTAAAATATGTTTTAAATGTTTTCTTAACTTTTTAATTCAGCAGCAGAAAATTTTATAAAAACTATTTGCAGCAATGAAATCATAAAATGAAATCATTAAAGTTATACTTGCTTCATCTTAATGAATGAATTATTGATCGAGAATTATTTATTGTTAATGCAGAAAGATTTCTTAAATAAATATTTTTTTTTTTTTTTTTTTTAAAAGTATCCGATACTCTAGGCAGTTTTCAACTATTAGACAATATGGAATGGACAATATGTATATGATCTTCCATGGGCTATTTTTTTATTATTATTTTTTTTTATTTTTTTTTTTTTGCTTTTCCTTATTAATACGTCTCACGTCATTATTAATAGAATTTTTATCATTGTAGACTGTATTATATTGATATCATTACCAAATTACGATGTTTTGCCTAATGCAACAATAATTTACAATTAAAAGCTCTGCTTACTGTGAATTAAATTCACCATTGTATTATATACATATATATAGGGATTATTAAATTTTAAAATAAGTAATTTTACTTACTCTATAGTGTGTGGTTATATAGGCTTACAAAAATCCGCGATATCTCACCTGAAAATACATTAAATAATATATAAATTAATTAAAAAATTATTTAAAAACGAAAACGAAGGCACTTTCAATATGCGAAAAATGTGACGTCTTTTTTTAATCTCCAAAGGATGAGGAATATATTCATTTTGTGACAACATTTGCAGCGTACTGCAGAGATCCCACAAAGTATATATATATTCTTGATCAACACCAAGTTTTGAATCGATTTAAGCATGTCTATCTGTTCGTCTGTCTACCTAACTGTGTTGCATCTGTGTGATAAGCACTCTCCTGTTCTCCTCGAAAATGACGATATCGCCTACATATGTGCAAAAAAATTTATTAATTACCTAAACTGTTCAAACCAGTCGCCTTCAACACCCATACACCTATGGGACAACAGCTTTTATTTTCAAAATAAGAAAAATCAGCCACGCCCAATCCATTTTTAGTTATGACATATAACATGAATATTTAGGTCTTCTAATTTTTGCGTCTTTTTTTAAGATAACGATGATGGGTATAAAAGATTAGATTACATCCGTATAGAATTTTCTTACTTGTCTTGTTATTATTGTCATCATTATTATTAATTTAGTCAAAGAAATAAATTCAAAGACTAAGTTCTTTAAGCACTAGTATCGATGGCTATCGGCTATCTTGAAAACTCTGTTAGTCGAGATACTTTCCCTATTTGGTCACGTAGGCACTGAATCTATCATGTAGCGATTTCTGCGAGGAAAAAGTCCTCTATGCGAAAGGCTGACGGATGGATCGGGGTACAAGCGGATATTTTTAAATCCTTAGTTGATCAAAACTACATACACTCTTCAAGGTTTGTGATGTGTATTATATTGCAACTGATATGATAAACATATTTGATATATTCTCATCTTTTCGATAATGCATTTAAGAACATTTTGCGTGCATAAGATAACTTTTCCATATTCATTCTAAATTACAATAATTTAGATAAATTACCCTTTGTATAATTATAGCTTAGAAAATGTATTCTGTTAAGCTGCTATTCGTTCGCATAGCCCCAATAAATTCTTACAATAATTTTATTCAGACAAAAAAATCATTGATATGTGATGAAGGAAGCAGTAAAAAATCACAGTGTTCCACATAATTGTGACACGCACTTTTGTACAAAAATTTAATCAAGGAAAGTGAAAAAATTGAAGAAAAAAAAACTACATCCTTACTAACTCGCTCCATAACTCTTGCTCTATTTATAATTTCTTCTGTCAATAAAACTTTGATTACAAATTTTTTGCAAATAACTTTTCTCTCTTACAACTTCTTTGCAACCTTTTCATCATTTCTAAAGCACTTAATCATCGTGTTCTTTTCATTTTTTTTATTCTATTTTATTTTCTATCTCGCATCATCTAGGAATGGTGATATATTAATCATACCGTATCGTTTGTAACAATCAATTTCGATTATCTACTTTATTGCCTCTTACTTCTTAATATCGTGTCAAAATTTTAATATAAAAACGATTTAACATTTGAAATGATTCGAAGAAAATTCATGAATATTTCCTTGTAATTCACTAAAATGTAAGGGGCTTCTATTAAGCTATAATTTGCATATTACCTACAATAATAAAGACTCGACCACGACTCGATAGGAATGCCTCATATTAATTTTTTTCTCGCATTTTTTTTTTTTTTTTTTTTTTTTCTTAGAAAAAGTCATTTTCCAATTTGTGAGAGTTTTATGAAGTAACACTAAACCGAAGTTTCACACATTTCTTTTAACACCAGAGAAAAAGTTGCCTTTTTGCCAAAGGGTTACTTGTGCGCTTATTTTGTTATAAAAGCAAATTTCATTTCCTCTGACATGTCGAATAAGTTACAAAGAAAACAAAATTGAAACTATTGCAAATACGTCTATCTTCTTGATACGAATCTTGAATACTCGCACTTGTTTATACATGAAAATTTTATCATTTTAATTCGTTATTGCTTGCAATTTGAATGAATTATGATATAAATTTTTTGGAAAATTTCAGGGTCTCTTCCTATTCAATTTCATTCTTTCACGCAATGATTTACTGAGAAGAGTACACATGAGAGAATTTCCAATTTAGCGCAAACCTTCAGAAAGCTCTATGCAATCTTCCGATGATGAATATACCTATAAGTAGAAATGAAGAAGCCTGCATAGGCAAAACTTAAACCAATGGCATTTCTGACACGCTCTATACACAAACAAGAATTTCACTGCACTCCGAATTCTATATAAAATTGTTCAAATTCTTAACTATAGATATATTATCAGATTTTGTAAGTGATGCCAAGTTTTTGCATTACGGATAAAAACAATCATGCCAATAGTAAACAAAAAACAGGTCTTATTAGAAAAGAAAAAGAGAGACGAAACTAATGAACTTAACGGTACATAGTAAAAAAAAAAAAAAAAAAACTCATTAAAAAGGGACTAGAACAAGGTACACAAAAACTTGGCTTATCAAAAAAAATATTAAGATAAAAAACAAAGTAACAATAAATATTTTTCTATTAGCGATTTATTTAATCAAGTTCGCAATAATATGTAGCCTGTAACTTGAGTTTATTTATTACGCTTTTCTAAGATTTTTAGATAAGTCATAATATCGTATATTTTCTTATATTCTATATATTCTCTTAGTTTCTATAGACTTAAATTGATTATATTTTCAAGTTTCACATCTCGAAATTAATCAGATACGTAAAATTTCGGTTTTGTTAGACAGTTGGTTGGTTCTGATAAGTACGCTCGGAGCCTTGCGTTCATATAAGATAAAATTTTGAATATTATAGGAAAAAGAATAAAAACGATAGAATTATTATATCCACACGCTATGATATGAAAGTTAAAAAAAAAAAAAATTTATATATATGTATGTATTGGGATTCATAAGGTATGTATAGTAAAACTTGCCAATCTTTTAATCAAATTAAATTTTTAGAAAAGGAATTACGTATGTGACTATAGGAAGAAAGGCACTATTATAAGAAAAAAAAAAATAAATATATATATAAAAATCTGTTGCGAGTTTTATTTTCTTCAAGAGCCAAGAAAGCAGTTTCATGGGTAAAAACGGAACTTGTTACACGCGTATATTTTTCTAGGCTGTTACACGCACACACACACACACACACGCTACGCTGTTATACACAAACACCTGTCGAATATGTGTGTAAAACATAAATTCTTTTGAGCCTGATTTTATTCCTTGCGCTTATGTTAGGTATATAGCCCCGCCGTATGCAATATAAGTATATATGTGTATGTGTGTGCAAATGCAAGAAACTCAAAGTAGCTAAATATAGTAGTTCAAAGTCATTCAACATAGTAAATCCACGGTTGCTCTATATAATACATGTACGCATGTACATGCAAACATCTACTACTACTGTACACACAATCACATGCACTTATATATAATAGCTTATAAATTGGTATGCTGGTATACCTTTATATATAAAGCACAATCATACAATCATATTCTTTAAGTTAAGCATATGTGTTAGTGAATGTTTACCTTGATACAATGCGAAAGATATGTATGTATGCATAAACAAGCGTAGCACATAAGCATAGGTATATACTGCATGTAGAGTATGTTTGCTTACGCCTTAGTGCAATTTGCAAGTTTTTTTCTCTACAATAGAAAAAGGCAAGAGCAACGGCAGAGTTCACAAATAATATAGTGGCACGAACACCATTTACCCATCAACCATTATTGGCTTAAAACCAACATAACAAGACCTCAACATATTTAAACAATTTAAAACTCATCTTAATGGCTTTAATAGTTTAGTGCATAAAATCAAAAAGATTACAAAACAAAACCTAGCAGCGTATAAGTTGTTGTTGTTCTGTTTAGTAGTTAGTTTATACCTTTTTTTTTTTTTTTTCTCTTTTTTTACACTATTTCATTGCAGCGTGCTCTGGATTTAAGAAGAATAAGTTTCAAAAAACCATAAGTAAGAACAATTGGCGGCTGCCATTGTTACAATAAAACAGCAACCTTAGTCTCTTTTATTGTAGCTTAAGGTTTAAGTTTTTTTCCCCGCTTTAATCCGATTTAGTAACGTTTTAACTATTAAACCGAGTATTATTCACATTTTCATTTTACATTCACCGTAGACATCCATCCACCTAGCTTGCATAACTTGGGTAGCAAGCGTTATCTTTCGATTTACCTTCTTTTCATTTTTTTTATTTTTTTTTATTTTTTTATTTTTTTTATTTTTTTTTTTCTTGTACTTGAGCAAATGTATATCCATACATATGCATATGCATATAGAGAGGCGGGCGTGAGTTCATGGATGCATGTGTGCTTGTGCATGTATAATCCTTCATATTATTTGAGTAAAAAGATGGTTGAAAATATATATATATATATATATATATTATAATCAGCCCAGACAATGGCAGATAACAAAATTGAAACTGAAACCTTCATGTAAATATGAGACCAGCTTTTAAATTTGCCCAGATTTAGATAGATTTTAGATTTTTTGTCTTATGTTTTTTCTCTTACGAACCGTATTGAAACAAAAAAAAAAAAAAAAAAGGGAAAGAAACTTATGGTTATAAGTCGCATAAGAAGTGAATTTTTCTTAAGCATTAACAGTTAGCATAAAATATCAACAGGAAAAGGGAGATTGTTAAGGCAATATTAAAGGATCAAATAGAAAAAGACTAACACAGTGAACAAAGTCGTTTGCAGTGAATATCTTAACTTTTGCTCATTTATTTTAATGAACATTTTTCGAATAATTAAGTACGTTTGTTTATTATCGCCTTAGCGATAGAATAGAGATCTCTAAAGAGCAAAATGTTACATCGATGTACAAAAATATAAATCAAAATGTAGATTATTAATTTTTTTTTTTTTTAGTCTTAATTGTATTTAATTTTATATGTTGTCCTATCCAGTTTTCTTCTGCTTTCTGCTTCGTGCAATAATGATGATGACGATTAGCGCGTTTGTATTCTAGGTAATATACTAACGG